ATCTATCTATCTATCGATCGATCGATCGATCGATGTATATATATCTATATATCTATCTATCTATCTATATATATATATCTAGATATATCTATATCTAGATATAGATATAGATAGATATAGATATAGATATATCTATATCATATATCATATCTATATCTATATATCTATATCATCTATATATCTATAGATATATAGAGCAGGGCGATATGGCCAAAAATATTTATCACGATATATATTTGAAAATTTGCGATAACGATATAACTGACGATATAATTGATGCGAGACAAAATACAACTCCACAACATTACTAGCGCAAAAAGACAACCTTCCATTTATTTTCACTTAAACAAGAAGCTGGTTTTTATGTACATTAAAGCTTTATAAAAATGTAACAGTGCAAATGCAAATTCCTTGCTGAAAGTTTAACCAAAAGGCATTTCCAGTAGAAATGGGCTGACATATCCTGAGCATAACCATGTATAATATCCACTGAAGTTAAAAAGAGGTGCTTTGCAACATTAAACTGCAGTGTGCAGTACGTATTTTTCGACCATAAGGTGCACGGGATTATAAGGCACATTAAGCGAAACAAAGCAGTCAGATAAATCAAACTTTATTAAACTCATTCTTCTTGCTTCCTCCACTTCTGTACCATTGATTCATTAATGTTGAATTCTCTGGCAGCTGCTCTATTCCCATGTTGTTGCAGTATATTAATGACTAACCTCGTATTGTGGATGGATTATCTCAGTTGTTCTCCTGACTGAAGTTTGGTCCGTTTACAGCATCCTGCCATGCGATTGCATTTGTCTCTAACCATGAGGAACTTCACGTTAACTTTTATAAGTGGAAAAGGTTAGTGTTCTCCTCCAGCTTCACTGTTTATGTTATGCTAACATAGCTGTGTCGCTAGCGATCACGTAGCACATCATTATATACCAGCTAGCCCAACTTCAGTAACCCTACAAACGTCACTGCTGTTTAGTTTCCTGTCTTCATTTATGTTGGAAGTGATAGCAGAGCTGTACGTTTGATTTTTTTCAGAAATCTCTCAGTCAGAACATGCAATATCATGCTTAGGTAACTAGCGAAACTAGCGAGCTAACTTCCGCTAGCTTCCTGCTAACTTCTAACTCCGTTAAATGTAATAACTTTTGTTTTCATGGATGCCTGGAAGTTAAACTTATAGTTACACCTGGTAAAGCAGCAATGCTGATCGTTTTATTAAAGATGAAAGAATTTAGACAGTTTTTAACTCTCAGTGATGCTGCAGTGTTGTTTGACCTGAAGCATACGGAGTTTAGGACCCAGATTACTCCCAGATTTAAGAGCATCTTAGTCCGACAAATACGACAATAACGACGGCCGCTTGCATGTTCTGCAAAAAAATGTGCTTTGTCGTGTATCTGACGGACAAACACCAAACCAGTTCCACATCACTGAAGTTGCACCATTTTTACAAACCAATTCTGGTTCATCTGTTTCACTCACACCAATGTGGCGAGCTCAGACAACGAGGAGACGGAGGTGTCGTTTGGTCTTGCTTCCCGTGAGCTAGCCAGGGAGCACAGCCGTTTATTGACATCTGCAGAAGAACACTGCCGCTAGCTAACTGCTCAGCGCGGCAACCGCACAACAACAACAACAACACACAGGGCGCCCTCTGACCCCGGAAGGACACACCGTCGCAGCGAGAGGGCGTCACCCGTCACTATGGCAACATAAACAAAACATAACTGTACAAACAGAACCCCGAACAGCCCTGACCCGCTACATAGCCCCCACCTAAGGGGTCAGTCGTCCCCGACGACCCCATTCCCCACACAAAGTCCTGCAAATGTCCAGGTGCCTTCTTTTGGCGCACCGGCCGGTCACGACCGGCGGGGGAAAAGTCACTCGGGTCAGAACATGGGGTGCCACCATCATCCCACTTCTGACACCAATGTGGCGAGCTCAGACAACGAGGAGACGGAGGTGTCGTTTGGTCTTGCTTCCCGTGAGCTAGCCAGGGAGCACAGCCGTTTATTGACATCTGCAGAAGAACACTGCCGCTAGCTAACTGCTCAGCGCGGCAACCGCACAGCAACAACAACAACACACAGGGCGCCCTCTGACCCCGGAAGGACACACCGTCGCAGCGAGAGGGCGTCACCCGTCACTATGGCAACATAAACAAAACATAACTGTACAAACAGAACCCCGAACAGCCCTGACCCGCTACAATATGCTGCTGAGAATATAGCCCAGAAGAAGCGTATAGTATAGCTTTTATTTTGGAAAGAGCCATTTCTCTGTAATAAACTCTCTTTTCCAAAGATGAGTGATTCCTCAATCAGATACAGGGCTCGCAAAATCGCTAGCCCGACGTCCCGGGGCTAGCGATTTTTCCAGTCGGGCTACCAAAATCTATCTCTGCCCTGCCCGTCGGGCTATTGTAGGAAGGAAAAATATATGTCAATGCTTTTGCATTCTTTCGGAAATGTAGCTGGGTAATTATGTCATTGGCATCGGTGAGCCACTGTCAATATGTGACATATTGAAATCGCGTTTGAATTTGCGCTTGTTTTTTGCTTTCACTTTGCAATGCGCGAACTGTGTATAGAGAGCGACAGCACTGATCTGTGAGTGATGATAATTTGCGCACCAATTCCTCTGACATCGTCTTATCAATCGTTAGCTTACTATGCAAACATGACAAGTGAAATCTCCGCAAGCTTAAACATGTGAGAGGTTGATCGCGCAGAGAATCGCTGACCGTTATGTGTGTGTGTGTGTAAAAGCAGCAGGATATATATTTTAGTTCTGCTGAGCCAAATAAGACAGGTCAGGGTGAAGAAGTGACAGCCAAAGAAAAGCTTACCACAAAACGGAAAAGTTATGACAAATCAGACTATAAGGCAAAAAGAAAGTGCAGCTTTATGGTTTCATGGACAAAAGAATTTCTGTGGCTGCAATATGACGAGCTATATAACCGGGGCTGCACATAAGTGGTCCGCAGGTGCGCATTCGCTGTCAAAAAAAAAAAAAAAAACGCGCACAAGATATGAAGTTGCAACGCGTGTTTGCATACATAAGATTTTCTGGAGGAGGACAGACATTTGTTTAAAACTCTTAAAGATGTCGAAGAAGCTCCTTTAAGCAATTACTTTGGTGTTCCTCCACCTCCAAAAAATGTCAGAAGGAGTCCGAACCACAAAAGAAGCGCGTATTCTCGGAAAAGTGGTTGCAGGAGGTGAGCTGGCTTCAAACAAATGATGAACGCACAGAGATGTGGTGCGGAATGTGCCGTGAAAATCCCACTCTAGCGGACAAAAACAGTGCTTTTTATATGGACGCAAACGCGCGTTGCAACTTCTTATCTGGTGCGCGTCTTTTATTTTGACAGCGAATGCGCACATGCGGACCACTTATGTGCACCCGTGTAAATAACATAATGTTCTGCCGGGTGTGTTGTTGGTTTTCTCTCGATTTCTGAGTCGACAAGCGCCTTTGTTACTGGGACCAGTCATTTTAAGAAAGGCCCCCATTAGAACCCATGAGAAATGCAAGAAATGCATTATTGCTCAGTCTGCAATATCTTTCCCAGAACAAACACCAATTGCAAATAACATACTAAAAATAAACCTGAAAAATCTGTTTAGAACAGCGTACTATGTTGCAAAGAGTGAACTACCACTGGCAAAATTTAGCAGTCTTTGCAAACTTCAAAAAGCAAATGGCCTCGATCTTGGTTCCACTTGTCTCTTACCCGTGACTTCAGTGGAAATTTCAAATTCAGGATCTGACACAGACTGATTCATGTCCTACACAGTTCTTACAAGTTCATAGAAATTTCTGTTCAATTAGAACCAAGTATTTGAGTTGATGATTGTAATTTTTATACAATGTTGTAATTTGTTTTTCAACAATTTTTTGATTAATGTTTTGTTTCCTTTACAATATTATACTTTAATGTATAATATTGTAAAGGAAACAAAACAGGAAACAAAACATCAATCAAAAAATTGCTCTCTTTTTTATTCGGGCTACTTACATTTATTTTGGGCTACCAAAAACTGAAGAGTCCCTGCCCGAAGGGCTACCAGGGATTTTGAAATTTTGAGAGCCCTGAGATATATTTATTTTTTTAATTACTTTTGTTTCAGCAACATTAAATTTAAAAACTGTACTTTTGAGTTAAAATATATATTTATAATTTTAATAAATGACAAATTAAAAAGGCATGAACATTTTTTTTGTATCGAAAAAATATCGAACCGTGACACCAAAGTATCGAACCGAACCGTGAATTTTGTGTATCGTTGCACCCCATTATTATAAAAATTAGATTTATATATATATATATAATATATACATACTATATAATATATATATATATATATATATAATATTATGATATATATATATATATATATTACACACACCACCAGATTAGAGATGGCACGATACCACTTTTTTATGTCCGATACCGATATCATAAATTTGGATATCTGCCGATACCGATATGAATCCGATATAGTGTTTTTTAATCAATAAAACTGTTTTTTAATATCTTGCTGCATTTTGTATAAGTTCATACTCAAGTTTAAATAAACAACAACACTAAAGCTATTCTGTTATACCTGTATGTAAAAAATACACTGCACCCAAAATATTTCATAGTTCAGCAATACTGATCAATCTAATAAACTTAAACCTACTCCATCCTCCCTATTCTGGTATTTTAAAGAGTACTTAGCAGAAATATTAAGCAACCTAACTAATAGGGTTGCAAACTCCCAGCAAAAAAAAAAGAAAAAAAAATAGGGAACCACCCCCCAACCTCCACCTCATGATGCTTAATCGACGTAATCAACTTTAATTTGATGCAGTGTGGAAAAAATGCACAGAAATAAATTATTTTTCAAGAATAATTAAATAGATTCAACATCTTTCTTCAACAGAACTGCAGACTGCACAGATGGTATCTTCCCAAAGGAAAAAGTAGCTTATAGGGTATATTAGACTTAACAGTTACTATATACAGTAATGGACTTCTATATATTTTACATCAGATTAAAACTTTGGGTGTAAGATTCAGATAATTATTTATTAAAAGCTAGACATTTTAAATGAGAATAAGAAAGAAAAGTATGTCTTTGTGCCCCCTTTTCCCTGTTAATGCCCTATCGGCCCCCCTGGCTAAACTTTGCTAGATCCGCCCCTGCACAGTTACCAGCCGTCAGCTACGTAGAAAAAGATCCTGGTGTAGAAAGTAATATTAAATAAATTCTAACAACAGCTTATCAAGCTTAAACGTGCTGCTGTTGTTCAGCCGCTGGTTTCCTCTTTCTGGTGCAAAGTGGGCCAAAAACAAAAAGAGAGACGGACTCGCGACAGAAAAGCGATCAGCTGATCATTAATCAGTTTCACTGATTGAAGTAGCAGCGAGAGAGAGAGGCAGTCGCTCCATATATCGGTTGTTAAGCTTAACGTGGGAATGCTTTACAAACATTCAGAGATGAACTTACACACTTGCTTTACTTCTCTCTGGGATAACTTCCTCGGAGATGAAATGCTGGTTTGGTAGCGAGGCTACAAATACACACAGCCGCTCTATCACGTGAGCACACTGCTCCACGTGCTACGGTTATGAGCCGAGTTACGCCGTGTCGCAAGTTTTGTGAGGTGCTTTTTTGATATTTAATGGATCGGATTACATTTTTTATTTCTCTCCGATATCCGATCCAGTAATTTACGTCAGTATCGGACCGATACCGATACGTAATATCGGATCGGTCCATCTCTAATATATATATGGATTTTTTTAGTTGCTGTTTTTGTAACGTTATAAAAAAATGAAAGGTGGTAGATTGGCCAGATGCTGGCACATGTGTACAAATAACTCTGGTGTTTGGTGGCTGCTATGGCAGAGCTTCCACAGAGGCCAGCACGTGGATGAGAGAAAGTGGAGGCAGGAGGAGGAGAGACCCGTTTCTGACACAAGTCCCGTCTCTCTTGTTTGTTTATCGCCCACTTTGCGCCAGAAAGAGGAAACCAGTATGTGCGCTAAACAACAGCAGCACGTTTAAGCTTGATCAGCTGTTGTTAGAATTTATTTAATATTAATTTCTAGTATCAGCTGATGTTTGCTGGAGCCACAGCTGTAAAGCTGCTGGTCATGATTCGGTTTGGATATGTGGTGAGAGGGAAACATGAAGATGAAACCAGGAGATGTCCTTACTGAATCATCAGAGCTGAACAGGTGATGGAGAAACAGGTTTACCTTTTAGGTGACATGAATGAGTTGAAGGGAAGTTATGAACTGTTTCTGAGAGACAAATAACACCAGGATCCTTTTTTACGTAGCTGACAGCTGGTAACTGTGCAGGGGCGGGTCTAGCAAAGTGTTGCCAGGGGGCCAGGTAGGGCATTAACAGGGAAAGGGGGGCACAAAGAAATACTTTTCTTTCTTATTCTCATTTAAAATGTCTAGCTTTTAATAAATAATTATCTGAATCTTACAACCAAAGTTTATCTGATGTAAAATGTATAGAAATCATACATATACCAACAAGACTGTACATCACTGTCACAACAGCGTTCGTTTTCATTCAAAGGTTTTATGGCTTTTCCTGTAATACCTGGTGGGCCAGTCTTTAGTCAAAATGCCCGGCCCGATTTTTTGTCCCAGTCCAGTCCTGCTGTCCTATGAATAATCTTTGTGTGTTTTCCTCCCTTAAGCATGGCTTCTTGTCAGCTGCCATTCCACTGAGACCATTCCTGATGAGGCTTCAGTGAACAGTAGATGGATCAGCTGAAGGCCCAGATGCATCTCTCACCTCCTGTGTCAGTTCTTTGCTATATTTTTTCATTATTTCTTAAGGACAACTTTGTCTGTGCAAGATAGTTTTTTTTAAGGCCTGACACTTATTAGTGTGTCCTTATCTATCCAGTTTCCTCAATCTCTTAAGGACACACTGCACCAGCACTCTCTGGTAATATATATGGCACGTTTTCAGCTAATAGCTCTTTGGGAATCACCAAGTTGGTGCAAAAATCTATCACATACCTGTCAAACTGTGGTATCATTGGCATTTTTTGTAGATTCAACTAAAGAATGTGTTTTTGGAGAATATGTTTTTGCAACCGGCTCCCAAAGAGCGCCTAAAGATTTAAAACTGGTTGCTTTGCTAAGTTGTCATGTGTAAACACAACACTAGTTCAGGCGGGTGTGTTCTTATGTTTGAGTAATTCATAAACCAGTGTTAAGTTAAATTAGAATATCATGGTTGATGTGTAAAATCTGTAGGTTTTTCACACATTAATGGCGGAAGTTAAACACTTGAACGCTTTAGTAAATTTTTAGCTCACAGGAAAGAATGATTGTGCGAAAAAAAAAAAAGAATCAGAACTGAAAGTTGAATCTCACCATTTTATGCAAAGCGTGGAATTCGCTGTAGCGTTTCTCAACAGCATGTTGTCTGCCGTTCATCAACACGTCAATTTTAAAGACCTGAAAGAAAAAAAGATAAGTCAGCTTAGTGACTCATTCAACTGAAAATTTCTCCGCTCTACCCATAAACTCAGCAGTGACAGTAACGTCGATGTCAGCATTAATTCCACAACAAGAGGAAACATCTGGCTGTTGTGACAGAAAAAACAAATTGATCTGTCAGAGTTACTGTTAACATCCCCTTCCACTTCCCTTCCTTCAGTAAGAGATTCACAGCACGCACGCTGCCGTTCTGGACAGCATTTTGCAAAGGAGGAAATTCACAATAAATGACGGCAGCGCTGTGAACACACACACCGCGGAAAAGCCAACAAGTAATCATTATTAACAAATGCTGGAAGAATCCAAACAGGTGTTGAATCTTATTTAAAAATATATTTTAAATAAAATATATAATCATCTCATAAACCTGAACACAGTGTCCATACGTGAATACTGAGAAATAAATTCAGAAAACTTTCTTTTTATGGATATTACACAATATCTTGGAGGTCAGGAAGTCAAACTCAAAAGCACTGCTCTAAGGTCCTCATGACTTCCAGCAATAAAACATCATGCCATTAAAACGGAAAAAACCCTTAAAGATGCCACAAAACTGGGAACTGTTGCCTAATTGAACAGTGGTTCCCAATAAAGGGGGTAGGACTCCTTAGAGCAGGGGTGTCAAACACAAGGCACGCGTTTGACACGGCCCACAAAGACCCGCACGGCGGTGGAAAATGTAAAGGGGGGCATAGATTTTGTACTTTTAACTGTATTTTCATCGATTTTACAGCGTTTCCTGCTGATGAAGTCCACCACTGCCATTCATTCTACACCAAAGTAATAAATAAACAATAACAATTAAACCACAGAAAAGTTTTTTCTTACCATCTACTATAAAAATTTATATATATTTATATTTTCTTTTACAGTGGGTCCACAGCAGGGGAAAAAAATTTATTTTTTGGGCCACCAGAACACATTTGTTTATCTGCGCTGACAGATTTCTTACATTTTTTTTACAGCAGCATTTCTTTATTGTCTAGAAAAACTGAGATATATTGTTGAAACTGGTCTTCTTTTAGTATTAATTGGTATTAAATGCGCAGTCCAACTTCTTTACACTGACAGTGGTTTGGCCCACTTATGGTCAAGGTGGGCTGTAACAGTGGCAAAATGAGTTTGACGTGCTTAGATAAAATGTTGTAGTCACAAGATGAGTAAAAGACAGATATATCTTACTGATTCTGATGTTAGAAGACTGCAGTACAATTAGTTTGATGAGTAAATGACTGATTTTAAAAAGCTGAAACCAACCTTATGTGTTTGCAGTGACAGCAGCCTTTACTGGAAGTGATTTTAAACAATATTTTACAAAAGAAAACATTTAAGGGTGAAGCAGTGGTGCCTGGATTAAATCCTTACCTGTGTTTATTCCCAATCAAGGACTCCCTACACCCCCCCCCCCCCCCCCCCCCCCCCCCCCCCCCCCCCTCTATAGATCTCTCACAGTAATGGACTTCTATATATTTTACATCAGATTAAAACTTTGGGTGTAAGATTCAGATAATTATTTATTAAAAGCTAGACATTTTAAATGAGAATAAGAAAGAAAAGTATTTCTCTGTGCCCCCCCTTTCCCTGTTAATGCCCCACCTGGCCCCCTGGCAAAGCTTTGCTACACCGGCCCCTGCACAGTTACCAGCCGTCAGCTACGTAAAAAGCTGCGTAAAAAAGGATCCTGGTGTAGAAAGTAATATTAAATAAATTCTAACAATAGCTTATCAAGCTTAAACATGCTGCTGTTGTTCAGCTGCTGGTTTCCTCTTTCTGGCGTGAAGTGGGCAATAAACAAAGAAGAGAGACGGACTCGCGACAGAAAAGCTGATCAGCTGATCATTAATCAGTTTCACGATTGAAGTAGCAGCAGGAGAGAGAGAGAGGCAGTCGCTCCATATGTCTGTTGTTAAGCTTAATGTGGGAATGCTTTACAAACATTCAGAGATAAACTTACACACTTGCTTTACTTCTCTCTGGGATAACTTCCTCGGAGATGAAATGCTGGTTTGGTAGCGAGGCTACAAATACACACAGCCGCTCTATCACGTGAGCACACTGCTCCGACGTGCTGCGGTTATGAGCTGAGTTACGCCGTGTCACAAGTTTTGTGAGGTGCTTTTTTGATATTTAATGGATCATTACATTTTTTATTTCTCTCCGATATGCGATACAGTAATTTACGTCAGTATCAGACTGATACCGATACGTAATATCGGATCGGTTCATCTCTAATATATATATGGATTTTTTTAGTTGCTGTTTTTGTAACGTTATAAAAAAATGAAAGGTGGTAGATTGGCCAGATGCTGGCACATGTGTACAAATAACTCTGGTGTTTGGTGGCTGCTATGGCAGAGCTTCCACAGAGGCCAGCACGTGGATGAGAGAAAGTGGAGGCAGGAGGAGGAGAGACCCGTTTCTGACACAAGTCCCGTCTCTCTTGTTTGTTTATCGCCCACTTTGCGCCAGAAAGAGGAAACCAGTATGTCGCGCTAAACAACAGCAGCACGTTTAAGCTTGATAGCTGTTGTTAGAATTTATTTAATATTAATTTCTAGTATCAGCTGATGTTTGCTGGAGCCACAGCTGTAAAGCTGCTGGTCATGATTCGGTTTGGATATGTGGTGAGAGGGAAACATGAAGATGAAACCAGGAGATGTTCTTACTGAATCATCAGAGCTGAACAGGTGATGGAGAAACAGGTTTACCTTTTAGGTGACATGAATGAGTTGAAGGGAAGTTATGAACTGTTTCTGAGAGACAAATAACACCAGGATCCTTTTTTTACGTAGCTGACAGCTGGTAACTGTGCAGGGGCGGGTCTAGCAAAGTTTTGCCAGGGGGGCCAGGTAGGGCATTAACAGGGAAAGGGGGGCACAAAGAAATACTTTTCTTTCTTATTCTCATTTAAAATGTCTGCTTTTATAAATAATTATCTGAATCTTACAACCAAAGTTTTTATCTGATGTAAAATGTATAGAAATCATACATATACCAACAAGACTGTACATCACTGTCACAACAGCGTTCGTTTTCATTCAAAGGTTTTATGGCTTTTCCTGTAATACCTGGTGGGCCAGTCTTTAGTCAAAATGCCCGGCCCGATTTTTTGTCCCAGTCCAGTCCTGCTGTCCTATGAATAATCTTTGTGTGTTTTCCTCCCTTAAGCATGGCTTCTTGTCAGCTGCCATTCCACTGAGACCATTCCTGATGAGGCTTCAGTGAACAGTAGATGGATCAGCTGAAGGCCCAGATGCATCTCTCACCTCCTGTGTCAGTTCTTTGCTATATTTTTTCATTATTTCTTAAGGACAACTTTGTCTGTGCAAGATAGTTTTTTTTAAGGCCTGACACTTATTAGTGTGTCCTTATCTATCCAGTTTCCTCAATCTCTTAAGGACACACTGCACCAGCACTCTCTGGTAATATATATGGCACGTTTTCAGCTAATAGCTCTTTGGGAATCACCAAGTTGGTGCAAAAATCTATCACATACCTGTCAAACTGTGGTATCATTGGCATTTTTTGTAGATTCAACTAAAGAATGTGTTTTTGGAGAATATGTTTTTGCAACCGGCTCCCAAAGAGCGCCTAAAGATTTAAAACTGGTTGCTTTGCTAAGTTGTCATGTGTAAACACAACACTAGTTCAGGCGGGTGTGTTCTTATGTTTGAGTAATTCATAAACCAGTGTTAAGTTAAATTAGAATATCATGGTTGATGTGTAAAATCTGTAGGTTTTTCACACATTAATGGCGGAAGTTAAACACTTGAACGCTTTAGTAAATTTTTAGCTCACAGGAAAGAATGATTGTGCGAAAAAAAAAAAAGAATCAGAACTGAAAGTTGAATCTCACCATTTTATGCAAAGCGTGGAATTCGCTGTAGCGTTTCTCAACAGCATGTTGTCTGCCGTTCATCAACACGTCAATTTTAAAGACCTGAAAGAAAAAAAGATAAGTCAGCTTAGTGACTCATTCAACTGAAAATTTCTCCGCTCTACCCATAAACTCAGCAGTGACAGTAACGTCGATGTCAGCATTAATTCCACAACAAGAGGAAACATCTGGCTGTTGTGACAGAAAAAACAAATTGATCTGTCAGAGTTACTGTTAACATCCCCTTCCACTTCCCTTCCTTCAGTAAGAGATTCACAGCACGCACGCTGCCGTTCTGGACAGCATTTTGCAAAGGAGGAAATTCACAATAAATGACGGCAGCGCTGTGAACACACACACCGCGGAAAAGCCAACAAGTAATCATTATTAACAAATGCTGGAAGAATCCAAACAGGTGTTGAATCTTATTTAAAAATATATTTTAAATAAAATATATAATCATCTCATAAACCTGAACACAGTGTCCATACGTGAATACTGAGAAATAAATTCAGAAAACTTTCTTTTTATGGATATTACACAATATCTTGGAGGTCAGGAAGTCAAACTCAAAAGCACTGCTCTAAGGTCCTCATGACTTCCAGCAATAAAACATCATGCCATTAAAACAGGGAAAAAAAGCCTTCCTCAAAATGATGCCACAAAACTGGGAACTGTTGCCTAATTGAACAGTGGTTCCCAATAAAGGGGGTAGGACTCCTTAGAGCAGGGGTGTCAAACACAAGGCACGCGTTTGACACGGCCCACAAAGACCCGCACGGCGGTGGAAAATGTAAAGGGGGGCATAGATTTTGTACTTTTAACTGTGTTTTCATCAATTTTACAGCGTTTCCTGCTGATGAAGTCCACCACTGCCATTCATTCTACACCAAAGTAATAAATAAACAATAACAATTAAACCACAGAAAAGTTTTTTCTTACCATCTACTATAAAAATTTATATATATTTATATTTTCTTTTACAGTGGGTCCACAGCAGGGGAAAAAAATTTATTTTTTGGGCCACCAGAACACATTTGTTTATCTGCGCTGACAGATTTCTTACATTTTTTTTTACAGCAGCATTTCTTTATTGTCTAGAAAAACTGAGATATATTGTTGAAACTGGTCTTCTTTTAGTATTAATTGGTATTAAATGCGCAGTCCAACTTCTTTACACTGACAGTGGTTTGGCCCACTTATGGTCAAGGTGGGCTGTAACAGTGACAAAATGAGTTTGACGTGCTTAGATAAAATGTTGTAGTCACAAGATGAGTAAAAGACAGATATCGTTAGCTTCATAGCATAAGTGCCTAAGTCATTTTTTGGTCAAATTGAGATTTTTGCCTAACTTTACTCCCCTACCACTGCTGCATCATCCTGTCCGTCTGAAACACAAAACACAAAAAAATGACTTAGGCACTTATGCTATGAAGCTAACGATATATATCTTACTGATTCTGATGTTAGAAGACTGCAGTACAATTAGTTTGATGAGTAAATGACTGATTTTAAAAAGCTGAAACCAACCTTATGTGTTTGCAGTGACAGCAGCCTTTACTGGAAGTGATTTTAAACAATATTTTACAAAAGAAAACATTTAAGGGTGAAGCAGTGGTGCCTGGATTAAATCCTTACCTGTGTTTATTCCCAATCAAGGACTCCCTACACTATATATCTTTAAACTGAGCATATCTCAGCTACTTATAACCTCATTAAAGTATTTATCTTCATCGTATTTATTCCTTACTCTAGATTATTATTGTTATTATTATTTATTTATTTATTTAGAGATGTCAAGATGTCAGCTGGGTGTGGAGGGCTGGTTTAAAACTCTGGAGCCTCTCTGATTAGACACAGATTCTAAAGTCGGAGTAACTTTTGCCTCTTTTCGTGCCTCATTTGCGCCATAAAGTGCGAATTCGGTGCTGATTTGAAGCGAGCAGAGTGCAGTTTATGATCTAACAGAGAGACACAGCGGCACAGTTGACATTAAATCTGATGACAGCGGCAGGACAGGCGACACACAGACACACAGGGTTTATTAGGGAGCAGCTCACCGTGTATCCTTTCTCCACCGAGCTGTTTTCTGAGCGAAAAGACGGGATCGACACTCGCACCGGATGCATCTTCACTCGAACTGAGGCGTGATTTTCAGGTAGGTGATGTTTGATCTTGATCCTCTGGCGCACACAAACACATTGACACACACACACACTCACTCACTCAGTGCTGGTGGATTACTCCAATTTGACTGATAAAAATCACAGAATTCAAATGTGACGAAAGACATCTCAGTGGTGCCCCCTGCTGGACCGGAGGGCACACCGTTGTAAGGATTATCTTGAAGAAAGCGCCACAAAGGACAGTTTAACCTTCAGGTGGCCCAGTGGGGTCATTTTTAATCGTGAATGTCTTTCCTTTTAATTATAAAAGAATTAATTAATTTATTAACTTCGACAGGCAGTGGCATTGTGTCAAATTGTGTATTTTTTAATGTCATGGGCTTCGGTTTTATTGTTTTTTCGATAATTTAGCATCTGTGGTGGCTGTGGAGACATAGAAGGCTGTCTGCTAGTTGGATGGTGGTTTGAGCCCTGGCTTCTTTAATCTACATGAGAAAGAATCGTTGGGCAAGATACTGAATTCTGAGTTGCCTCCGATCCATATATGTAAGTGTGTGAATGTTGGGTTAGAATATTTTCTTCTTCTTCTTTCAACTGCTCAGTTCATGGGTTGCCACAGCCCGTCATCTGCATTCATTTCACCCTATCTCTACCATCCTCTGCTGACACCCCAGTAATCTGCATGTCCTCCTTCACTACATGTGCGAATCTTTTCTGTGGTCTTCCTCTTTTCCAGCTCCAACCTCATCCTTTTCGAGACTTTGAAATGCTTGGAAGAACAGCAAAAACACAACTCTACTTTACAAGCCTCAGTTAGGATGTTAAGTGTTAAAGCTCACAATATTACAATTAGAAAAAGATTGAACAAGTATGGCTTGTTTGAAGGGTTGACATCATGGCTAAACCTTGCAAAGTTGCACCTGAACCTTGGGACTTCGGGAACAATGTCCTTTGGACAGATGACACCAAAGTGTAGATGTTTGGCAATAATGCACAACGCCATGCAGGAGGGAAAAAAAAAAACAGCATAACAGCACATAATACCTCATACAAACTGAAGCGTGGTAGAGGGGTGATGATTTTAGCTTGTTTTACAGCCGCAGGACCTGGGAACCTTGCAGACATTGAGTCGACCATGAACTCCGCTCTATACCAAAGGTTCAATGTGAAGCCATTTCTCTGACAGCTAAAGTTTGGCTGAAATTGGATCATGCAGCATGACAACGATCACAAGCACAGCAGCAAATCTACAACAGAATTGCTGAAAAAGAAAAGAATCAATGTGTCGTTTGAATGAGTGAATCAGTGCTGTGGTGGGACCTTAAGAGAGCTGAGTATAAAGGAATGCCTGCAAACCTCAATGAACTAGTAATAAATAATACTGAGTGATATTATCAGTGAAATACACAATACTTTTAACCAGTTCAAACATCTATGAAGACGTATTTCATTGTGTGTCATTGAATATGTACTTTTAAACCAGCCTTTAGTTATGGTGTTGACAACAGCGTCACCCAGGAAACGTTATAGCAAGTGCATGAAACTCATGAAAACATACATGCTCGTAGAAATGTATATACCATTGTGTAAAGAGTGACTTCACTGACATCAGGCACTAATACCAGTTATACGTGATGTGTAGCATGTGGAAAGTTTCCCTGGCACTGAAGGAAATTTGCCAACTCAGGAAACAACTTTGATGACATCACGGGGTTTTCAGTAGTGATATTGCAGATTGACATTACAAATTTATTATGCAAAGCCTGTGTTACAAACAGTCAAGAGTGTATTTGATGGGTGCTCATCACTCTAGGAAGGTAATAGAAATCTATCTTTCCAGTAATTTTCAATAAGAGGGACTAAATGTGAGGAAATGAGAGTCTCTGTTTTGCTGCAGTGGTTCTGTGCTGCTTTTCTCTGCTTTATATTAGCGTGACACATTAAAACAATCAGCTTTTTCTTTGCTATTTTCAGAAATTTTATCCAGTTTTAAAAAAAGAATCAGTGGCTTAATCAAAGACAATAACATATACATACATGTTGGAAACAAAGTCACCACGATCACAATAATCAGCCTAAAACTTCGATACAATATTACAGTTTTATTCAAGTAAGTTTCAACAAAAGCTCTTGCGTAAAGAGAGTTTCATCTGCTGCATATAAATATATTTTCCTTTAAACAACTGGGTTCAATATAACATTGTGATATACATGATTTATGCTGCGATTTTTCTCTTTTAGGCTCATGTTTTTCTGGATTTTATTTCTTCTAACAAGTGGCAGTAAAAGGCAAGCATACAGTACAATCCAACAGAAATGAGCTATGAAAAATCCCCCCCCCAAAAGAAAAGCAAAAAAACAAAGCTGAGGTTATATGATTTTCATTAAGGAGAAAAAACAAAGATTTCTTTTCCCACACAAGCAAAGAAAAATTCCACTTTATCTGCTGCTATAATAATCAGATGATTCCTACTTGTTCTTTCCTAAATTGGGAGTGATTACATTTTAAGGTGAATGCATGTCTTAAGAAAACAAAAAACCCTGTTTTTTTCTTTTATCTATGTTGCTTTATATGCTTTCATGTGCAGTCCTCTTCTTTGTCATTTACACAGTGTGTCCGCTGAGCTGCTGTGGATGACTGTCGTTCTTTAATATCTAAAAAAGTGAACACGTAAATAGTTTCTGTGTGAAAATCTGAATAAAAACAAATTAACCGATGGAGACAGTGAGAAATATTAGGACTAAAAGTGTCACCTCAGACATCGTACTTACGTTGACATGTGACAACCTGACACGTAGGCATAGTTGCCCGTGTAGCGAACATCACAGCGCACAATATTGTTGCTGTAGTCCGATTCTGGAACCTGGTAGTAAGGATTTACACTGATCTGTGGACAATATGGTTAAAGATCTGTTAGTAAAAGAAGAAATATTGATAAATGAAACTCTTTTAAAGGTGCTTTGGGAGGAAGTCGTGGTATTTCTAACAAACCTTCAGGACATAGTTGCCAGGTTTCACATCTGTGATGTCAATCCACTGGCAGTCGATGTCTGCGTTGTAGGTATCATAACATCCCGGGCTCAGGCCCTGCGCGTTGGACAGCATCCATATAAAACAAAGTATAAGCAAACTTTTACATGCAAAAAAACAAAACAGTATTTGATTTCAACCTGTTTTTCCCGTCATTATATAAAAAAGAACGTTTTTGGTTTAATCCTGGAGGTGATTTTGGATCCAATGTCAACAAGAAGAGAGACCAAAATACAAGTTAAAATTACGAAAAAAAAACTGATGGAAAATTAGTCAACGTGCTGAAAAACTGACCACAGACGGTCATGCAGGTGAATCATCAGGAGAGACAGGAAATCATTAAATCACCATAAGAACTGGCTCATGCAGAAAGGAAATTCTAAAGCTGTTCTCTCAAACGCAGGAGCCTCGGGAAAACAGCAGAGCTTGTTTATGAAGCCCAACTCTCCTTTTTAGACACTTAAGAAACCAAATCATACGTCAGATTCTTCAGAATCTAAATGAATCAGAGGTACTGAAGTCTGGGAGCTCACATACAGGGAGTGCAGAATTATTAGGCAAGTTGTATTTTTGAGGAATAATTTTATTATTGAACAACAACCATGTTCTCAATGAACCCAAAAAACTCATTAATATCAAAGCTGAATGTTTTTGGAAGTAGTTTTTAGTTTGTTTTTAGTTTTAGCTATTTTAGGGGGATATCTGTGTGTGCAGGTGACTATTACTGTGCATAATTATTAGGCAACTTAACAAAAAACAAATATATACCCATTTCAATTATTTATTTTTACCAGTGAAACCAATATAACATCTCCACATTCACAAATATACATTTCTGACATTCAAAAACAAAACAAAAACAAATCAGCGACCAATATAGCCACCTTTCTTTGCAAGGACACTCAAAAGCCTGCCATCCATGGATTCTGTCAGTGTTTTGATCTGTTCACCATCAACATTGCGTGCAGCAGCAACCACAGCCTCCCAGACACTGTTCAGAGAGGTGTACTGTTTTCCCTCCTTGTAAATCTCACATTTGATGATGGACCACAGGTTCTCAATGGGGTTCAGATCAGGTGAACAAGGTGGCCATGTCATTAGTTTTTCTTCTTTTATACCCTTTCTTGCCAGCCACGCTGTGGAGTACTTGGACGCGTGTGATGGAGCATTGTCCTGCATGAAAATCATGTTTTTCTTGAAGGATGCAGACTTCTTCCTGTACCACTGCTTGAAGAAGGTGTCTTCCAGAAACTGGCAGTAGGACTGGGAGTTGAGCTTGACTCCATCCTCAACCCGAAAAGGCCCCACAAGCTCATCTTTGATGATACCAGCCCAAACCAGTACTCCACCTCCACCTTGCTGGCGTCTGAGTCGGACTGGAGCTCTCTGCCCTTTACCAATCCAGCCACGGGCCCATCCATCTGGCCCATCAAGACTCACTCTCATTTCATCAGTCCATAAAACCTTAGAAAAACCAGTCTTGAGATATTTCTTGGCCCAGTCTTGACGTTTCAGCTTGTGTGTCTTGTTCAGTGGTGGTCGTCTTTCAGCCTTTCTTACCTTGGCCATGTCTCTGAGTATTGCACACCTTGTGCTTTTGGGCACTCCAGTGATGTTGCAGCTCTGAAATATGGCCAAACTGGTGGCAAGTGGCATCTTGGCAGCTGCACGCTTGACTTTTCTCAGTTCATGGGCAGTTATTTTGCGCCTTGGTTTTTCCACACGCTTCTTGCGACCCTGTTGACTATTTTGAATGAAACGCTTGATTGTTCGATGATCACGCTTCAGAAGCTTTGCAATTTTGAGACTGCTGCATCCCTCTGCAAGATATCTCACTATTTTTGACTTTTCTGAGCCTGTCAAGTCCTTCTTTTGACCCATTTTGCCAAAGGAAAGGACGTTGCCTAATAATTATGCACACCTGATATAGGGTGTTGATGTCATTAGACCACACCCCTTCTCATTACAGAGATGCACATCACCTAATATGCTTAATTGGTAGTAGGCTTTCGAGCCTATACAGCTTGGAGTAAGACAACATGCATGAAGAGGATGATGTGGACAAAATACTCATTTGCCTAATAATTCTGCACTCCCTGTATATGTCTCTTATAAATGCAATCTGCCAAGGACTTACAAAAAAACCTTTTCAAACTGAATTGTGCTGTACTGGGATACTTGAGTATAACAGATCTATTGTTAGTGTGATTTCCTATAAAAATGAAGCTCCCACCAAAAAAGTAATCCATGAAATTCAAGTCAAAAATAAAAACTATGGTTTCTACAGAGGTATATAGTAAGTGAGCTTGTAAAGCAGTAGCTAGTTGCAAAATTCAAACTTTTTCCAACTTTGTTCTAACAGGAGCTAACTGGATAAATTTAGTACACTGTGGCAAAAAGAGGCAGCCAAAACAAGTTGTTTACACAGTGAACTTGTTAGGAAACAGCTGTACATCTGGCAGATAAAGCATGAACGTTTGAGCTGTGTTTCTACTAAATGCTAACCAACGCTTTCTGAGCAGCTTAACCTGGATTCATCTTTAAAAGGCGGCAGCCGACGACTTCTCTGTCTACAGAACGATCTCTTTACAGAAGACAGCTAAACAGCTGATATGTGTGTTTGTATCCTGAGTGAACTCAGTGAGGAGTTTACGGACTCAGCCGCTAGTTTCAGATACACACACAGTTACACACTTCTCTAAAAGATGTTGCCACAGCAGATGGCAGCGCATCAGCGACCAGATGCACTTTCTCATGCAACCCCTAAGGGATTTGTGTCTATTAATGGTCTCAAATAGGGGATTTTTTACATGTTAGGCGAACATGTAAACCACTGCACATGAAAGTAGCTTCCCCTCACTCATCACACAGTTTTCAGAAAACTAAGAAGGCAACACCCAATACGCTCAAACTAAGGCTTCAGAATGAGGCTTCTTAAATCGTAATGTTGGTTGTCATGGTAGCTAGTACATATTTTACATGTAGTTTATGAACCTGAAAGACTCTGAAGTGCTTAAATGTGCTGATGGTCACCTTTCTCCTTCCTCTGTGGATGTATCACCACGTATAACACCTTTCACGTATTGTCATGTGACCCTTTTCAAAGTAAGGTACAACCTTTACAGTTACATTTACAGCACTTATCTCTGAGACCTGAGTATGTGAGGTGCAGGCATATCGCCTGTAGTATCCATAGTCACAGGAAGTGTCCTCCAAGCAGAAGCTGGCCTTGTGGCCTTCTGCCACTGACCGCTGAGTGGTGGCATCCAGCAGATCGTAGTGGCTGAACTCATCCATGCTGTGGTAGTGCCTGTGGATCAGCAGCACAGTGACAGCAACTGAAGAAACAAGTCATTAAACTCAGTGAACTTCGCATCAGTGTGAAGTTTTCAAAGGTTTTCATTCATGAGCCAATAAACGCAGACTAATGTGTCAAATACATTTGGATCAAAAGGCTTCAAGTCACAGTGACTAAAACTATATTTTATTCGTCATATAGACGGTTATAGGAATAAGCATCTGGTTTGCCTCCAGTATCAGGAAGAAAGAGTTCGTTCAATGAAACAAAAGCAATCTGGTTTTTAACATCAGCTGACTTTCAAAACACGGAAAAATATCTATAGAGTCTACATAAATGGTTTCCTGGCTCTCTGTCAAAAGTGCTCCATCTTGGGGAGTCGCTCAGAGAACCGCTTGCTTCACAGCATAACTATGGACTGAGGTAGTTTTTCTGGAAACACCAGTCACATTTCTGTAAGTTCAAACATGGGACAAAAATACTAGCAGGTTTTCTTTTGGGCATAATATCCTCGTCATACAGCTTTAATGACTTTGCAGATGTAAATGAATGAAATGTTTAATTAGGCTACTCTAGATTTAGATTGAAAAGACAGGCTCTTTGTGTCTTAATGTTGAGCTTGAAAAAACAGAAGATTTCCTCTTCAAATGCCTAAAGATACAGCTAAAACTTGTGTTGAGATGTTGTTCCAGATATCAAATCTCTGCAAAAATATAAAAACAGCCAAAAGTAACACAGCTGTGGTTCAACAGGGGGTGCCATACCACAACTGCAGACTGCAACAGACAACCAGTAATTCTGGTAGCATCTCCTGAAAAACACTTTTAATGTCCAAACACCGCCCCTGTTCTTTAAATCATAGTCTTGATAAACATCAGCCTGGAAGTAGAAGAAGAAATGTCGATGGAATGATGGATGGACTGAGACGTGACTTTCCAAAGCTTCTCACTTCACACTCAGGGCAGAATTCCCAGACTGAGTTTAGAGCTGGTTTTTGTTCATTTAAATGTCTTTTTAAAAGTCCCTCCTAAGTTCATGTATTTATATATTAATACACTCAGTATGTTTGATATTTCAGCTGCAGAGATATTTTAGCATGCAGAGTCAAGCTGAGATGTACTGTAAATGCATCCAAACACCCATTTTTTTCTGAGACTTTCATTAATATTTGAATATTTTCTGGATCAAACCCC